TCTAACTAATTTACGCTAGATTTTTTGTCATTACAAAAATAAACACAATACAAAAACATATGAATCAAATAAATGAATAAATGAATGTTGATTTATTATTAATGTCATTATTTGTTATTTTTTAAAAATATTTATAACTTTCCAAATACAACAATAGCCAAAGCACATAGTGCTATTGCTTCATATTTGAAACAAGCCTCGCGGCGGATAGAAAGGACGAAAAAAAATTAAATAAGATTAAGAATCTAAAGGAGAAGATCACTAAACGAAAGCAGATGATGATGTTGCACAAAAACTGGTGCATGATGAACGGTATACTAGAAAAGATTTTTGATGATGCATAAACCAGAAAATTGATCCAAAGTACATTTTTATTAGTTTATTTATTATTATTAGTTTATTTATTTTATTAGTAATCTTTATCAAAATTCAGACTTTAATTTTCTACTAAACAAAATAAAATTTAAAAAATATTAGATAACGACAATAAAAATTGTTACTACAAAATTTCCACTGCGAAGGTTTGGTGACTACATTTTTTGAATTATCGAAGCATAAACAAGTATAGTGTACAAATATTTTTTTATCCTGCTATTTATGGGATAATCAATAAATAGTATACAATTTTATAAATATTTATAGTTATAAAAATTATAAAAAATAAGGCCTATTATACTGCTCCTTTATACTTTTATAGTTAAATCTTATTTATATATTTCAAGACCTATATAGATATCTATAAATATATCTATAAATATCTATAAATAAATTTATATATATCAATAAATGTTGAAGCAATAATAAGATATCTTACTATTGTTTCAAAATTTAATAGACGTTTTGTTTACTAAACGTCTAATAGACGATTGTGTGTTTACTGGGGTCAATAAATAATGAGGATTTCGAAGAGGTTGTTAACGGATTTATTGGATCAGGACAGCCAATATTAGGATAACTAAAATTAATCAGTAAGGGTATAGTTTTGATATAAAGTATATTTCAACGTTTAAATTCTTGTTGTTTTTGCTTAAGCTCATTGGAGATTGATATATGCAGCTAAATACAAGGTTTCTTTTAAGTTTTCGCTTGATAATTCTGGGCGTTTGTTTAAGAGCGAGTCCACGTTAGAGTACAAGCAATTAATAGTATTACTAGAGTGTGTTATTTTCTAGAGTTTGGTTCAATTGAGAAATGGACCCACTTGAGTCGGTTTTGATCTTTCTTATTTCTTTTTTTTATTAATAAGTTCGACGGCGCGAAAAAACCATTCGTTTTCAGTATTTTTTAATACCAGTTTTTTTTTTGAGTAATTTATATTTTAATGTGTTTACTTTTGAAGGGTATTGATGTCACTGTAGTCTAAAATATATATTTTTTCTTACATTGTTGTAAAAACTATGGTCGTTGACACCAGAAAGACCAAGGGGCTATTACCCCCTCCCTCCTCACTATTTTTCAGGGTAATGTGTTTGTTTTTTTTTGTTTTTTTTAAACAAACATAAATAATAAAAAAGTACACCTAAATTATATTTTAATACTAAATTATTATTTGTTACTGGTCTTTTAATCATACTAAAGTTAGTTAGAATAATCAATTAAAGTCTCATTAAAAAAAAAACGTTATTTTTAAACTTTATTTTTAACGTTACGAAGTAAAGATTAAGTACAGTTTGAACTAAAGATTAAGTACTGTAATAGTTTTTATAATTTATTTGAAACTAACAATGCCTTTAAGGAAGTTATTTTCAAAACAAATTTGAAATAAAATTCATAAATAGTATAGCCGTTTTGTATTAAAGTTAAATGAAATTTAATTTTTTTTCTTCACAAAAGAACTTTTCTTACTTCTTAATTCGCTTACTTAACCTTCGGAACAACGAATCAGTGTCTATTCGCTCGATCATCATGACTTTAAAACAATTATGTTGTTTTACAAAAAGAAAGTTGCAAATACTGATGTCACAAACAGTAATGTTGTAAATACCGATGTTGTAAATACTGATGTTGTAAATAGGGATGTTGTAAATATGGATGTTGTAAATAATAATGCAATAAATATTTATCCTGTAATTACTGAAGATACAAATAATAACAATACTGCAGAGGACGTAAGAAACAGTTTAATTGATAAAAAAAGCAGATTAGATGTGTTTGATGTTTCCAACAAAGGCTTACTACTTTTGTTGCTTAAAAAACTCTATCGTCCCTCTAAAGATTTCATCTTTCCTTGGGCAAAGATAAAATAGCAAAGTCGTTCTTGTCAGCATAACTGGTTTGAAAATTATACAGGTCAACAGAAAAATAATTTTTTTCTGGTGCCGAGCAAACAGTTAGAATTTTTTATAGCATTTCTCGTTTTGATTTCAAATATGCAACTCATTTGTCACCATCACGTCAAGTTGTAAACATATTTGGGTTCAAATCTTTAGTATTTGGGGTAAAATCCCGAATATTGTTGAAAAAAAAGTTATTCAAAAGTATGTCAACTTGGGTCTCAAAAGAAGCCTATTATCATAGAGATTTATAAAATGTTCAAAAATAAGTATTTTTTGTATTTTTTGCTGAGAAACATTTTGTTAAAATTTTTTAAGAGTCTTTAGCAGTTTTTCACCTAATTTTTTTGTAAATAAGTTTTAAGAAAAAATATTTATGTTTTCTAAAATCTCTATGAAAATAGGCTTCTTTTGAGACCCAGGTTGACATACTTTTGAACAATTTTTTTTTTATAATATTAGGGACTTTACCCCAAATACTAAAGATTTGAACCCAAATAACTTTACAACATGACGTGATGGTAAAAACTGAGTTGCATATTTGAAATTAAAATGAGAAATACAAAAAAAAAAAAAAAAAAAAAAAACTAATTGTTTGCTCGGTACCAAAAAAAATTTTTTTTGTTGACCTGTGTTACACTTGGTTATCCTTGGTTATATAATGACATTGAAAAGGATTGTATATTTTGTTTCTACTATATGAAATACAAATTAAAATTAACAGCAGAGAAGAATAAAGAGCCAGAGTAGATATCAGCTGGCTCCAGAAATTGAAAAAAAACGCCAGATGCAATCACCATAACAACAAATGCCACAGGGGTGCATCTACATTCGAAATTATTGCTCTTTCTTGTGATCTTGTTGTCAATCCTTCAACAATGCTGAATAAACAATATAATAAAGTCAAGGTCCGAAGAACGACAATATTTTAAAGCAATAATAGATTGCCTTAAATATCTTGTTCGTCACGGGCTTCCTTTACGAGGATCGGATCATATTAATAACGATAACCTGATCCAATTGTTGATAAATAGAGATAACCCGTTGATTTTTGAAAGAATTTCTTCTAACTCAGATAGCAAAAAAAGAAAGTTCCGCCATCAAGCCTACAAAAATGAACTTCTTATACTATTTTCGAATGGGTGTTCTTTATATAATTGTATATATAGTATATATTATATCTTATATTATATATAGTATATACTTATATCTATATTATGGACAAAAATCTATGTGCAAATAAAGATTTTCTAGGGTATTATGAGCTTCTCACTGGCATTGTCATTTTTATTAAAGTTATTCAAGTTGTTCGATAAAAGATGGAAATAATTTATGCAGAACTCTCAATGAAGTCTTGAGAAGCGTAGTGGAGATTGTAGTTCTTATTAAATTTTCCCTAAACAAGAAAGAATGCAAGGAGAAATCAATGAAAATATTGAAGTATAAAATGATGACAATAACGTTTTTTTGGATAGAGTAACTTCTCTATCAAAACAATTAGTTACTCGTTAGACAATTCGTGCAAGTCTTTATAAAAAGATGCGTTTTCTTACAAATCCAATTAACAAGCAAAATTTGAAATTTAAATAAGGAAATTTAAAAACTTTAATTTATAATGAATAGAGACAATATTTTAACTTATAATGATTTTTTAAATAAGGTATACTTAATTTTGAATAAATTCCTGTACATGTTTTAAACAACTAAATGCAACTGGTGAAAATTTGGGATAACTGTCTTGTCAAAACTTCGTAATTAAAACAGTCGTTTGAATAACTTCAAAATCAATAACTAACTTCTTCACAATTTACAAACTCATTAACACAACTATTTTCATTATTATAAACCTTAAACTAACTTCTTCGCAATTTTATTTTTAAAACACAAATATTTTATATAAACCTTGAACTTCTTCACAGTTTAATACCTCATCAACACGATTGTTATTATTTTATTCAACTTCTGCAGTTTCTTCAATTAAAACATTCCTACCTGAGTAACTTTTTAAGAATGTTGATAACGTAGTTAGTTTATTACTAAAAACCTTATAGATTTCATGAAAGCAGGCTTTTCGGAAGGACCAGCCCTACTTGCAATGTAAATTCGATATATTCTTGTTATTGTGCAAAATTTTGTTTTAAAAATATCTTCAGCTCTGTCTTAAGAACTGCGACTTCAGCTCCGTCTTTATATTCAGAAGCTTGTAAGTTAAGCAAAATTTGGCAGCAAATTTTTTTTCTTCTCAAAAGCAAAAGATATGAAGTTTTATTCAGCAAATATAATCATAAGTAATAGTAAGTCAATAATAATACATTCCATAAAAAAACTAAACACTAAGATGTAAACATTAAAAAACAAACATTTAAACAAAAAATTCTAGACTTAATAATTAAACAAACTCATCCAAAGCCTAATTAATATCCTTATTATGAAAAGAGAAAACTCACGTAAATAACTGTTACTTTCGTACTTTATCTAAATAGATAGTTTAAAGTAAATAGATAAATTACTTTCGTAATTTATTTATTCACTTTTTTTTTCCAAGCGATTCTGCGCATAAGAAACTACGACGTACCGTTTAAGGTATAAGCGCGCGATCTGCCTCAGTCAGTTAATCTTGGCAAGAACTTTTAAATACCTTTCTGTTTTGTTTTACTTTCACGCTTCATCGCATTGAAGCGTTTATTTACCAAAGTCAGTTAAACTTAAAAAGAAAAAATATCTAAATTCACATGTCCAAGTTCTTGTATATCGTCTAAAAAATCATACATGCGTTCAACCAAAAAATAAAAAAAATTGTTTAGTTATTTTTGATTTTTTAATTTTTTTGTATTTTTCTAAATATCTTGAATATTCAAAATTTAAAAGCATTATAACTATAACTGCCAAATAAAAAATTAAAAAAACAAATAAAAAAAAATTATAAATAAAAATTTCAACAATTTAGGAAAATTTTAGTCAATTACTTGTCACAAAATATAAAAATATGGAGCGTGTTATATAATAATAACAAAATTAAGAGACATTTTGTTACAAGAATTGATAAATAAGAGATAATAATTCTAACATCTAGTTCAACTATGTCACAAAATTAAAAGTCTAATAACAATTAGGGAGATATAAAGTAAATTAGGGAGATATAAAGTAAAATTTGCAATAATTTAGGTTAAACGTCTAACTTCATCATTTGTTTTAACATATATACATTCACATCGATGAGCAGGAGAGCAGTAGACTTATACAACAAATCGATTCTATTTTCAAACATTTTTAAATTTTATTTAGAAAAACATCATTCAACCTTTTTACCAGCCCATTTCATGTCATCACGTCGTGGTGGTATACCCGTCAACGCTTCAATCAATTTTTCGAAAGTTGGGAAAAAGCTAATTTTTTCCAGCGGATAGTTAAGCCAACCTGTTGTGATGCAGAAATATGTTTCGTGAGGAGCAACATGGTGTATTCTATGATGCTTGCGTGGCAAAATCAAATGCCATTTTTGCAAAAATTCAATATATTTTGGTAGACCATAATACGTGTGCGCCCATTTGTGAATTTGATTGGTCATTATAACAAAACACATAAGTGAATATGCGAACAAATCAAATCGATAATGCTCCCGTAATAAATGTTCACTGAGTGTAAAACCTTTATAAATAAATCTAACAGCAAATGGAACAATCAACATAAAATTATTCCCATTTGTTTCAAAGAAATCATGTCTTGTCATTGCTGTTGGATCCACGTGATGTTCACGGAATGGCCGAATAAAAGACTAAACAGCGATTTATAAAATATTTTACACTTGTTGACTTTGCAATAAGATTTATAAATTTATCAACAGTAATATTAAGGCCTAAATTTTTAAAAGAAAAAATAAGATTTTATTTTAACACATTTATTTTCAAAATTACCTTTCCAATAATGGGTAAGTCAACTGCTCCGTATGTGTCAGCTCCCCAATGAACTAGACCGGAAGCAAAATCAGTAACTAGTACGCCCAGCACTATAGCGGAAAAAAAAAAGATTTAATGTGTAAAATGACTAGAACTAAAAAATATTATAAATAATGTTCAACAGTCTTTTTTTCTAAATAGTAAACACTTGTAAATAAAAATGGCTAGTAAAACTCTATAAATTTGAATGTTAATACTTATATCACTAGTTTTTTTTGTTTTGTTTTGTTTCAGAAGTTTAGAAAACTGCAACTTTCAATAGCGAGAAAAAAATTTATAATTAAAAAAAGGAAAAGAAAGTAATTTAAACCAATTTAACAAGTCGGTGACTTCATACAATGACGATCAAAAATTAAAACCAGAACCAGATTATTAACATTCTTTTAAGCCCGTTCTCCATTCAGACATTCAGAACTTTTTGCGCTTTGGAGAAGCGGAAAAGTTCTTTGAGCATGGCAAACAGTTTTTTTAAACCCGTTCTCCAATCAGAACTTTTTGCGCATGCTCAAAGAACTTTTCCGCTCCTCCAAAGCGCAAAAAGTTCTGAATGGAGAACGGGCTTTAATGTTTTATCAATGAAAATAGTTTGAGTAAAATGATAGTTTGAAAAGTTTTAATTGTGGAAAATGTACAATAACGGATATTGCAGATGTTATCGGACAAATTTGAATTTAATTATTTGAGCATATTAATTTGTTTTTGTGGTTTTATGCGTAGAAATAAATGTTCTATGAAAACATTTACTTAATTTTATTAAATTTATTGTTCTATGAAATTATTTTATTAATTGGTGAGAAGAAGAACAGTACTAGTCCATTTTTTGTTATTTTCACTTTTTTTTCATAATTTCATTTAACTTCGATCTCTCTATGTACTACAAAAATAATAGTAGTCCATCTTTCTTTCATTAATTTTTGCCATAGAATAGATTGATAAATAGTTTGTAAACTATAACTGTTTAAAACTTAAACATTGATTATCTTGAAATGAAAATATTGGACTAGTATTCTTCTTCTTTTCACCGATTCAATTATTTCAAATCAGATTAAATGCAGCTGAACAAGAATCTTTTCGAAAGCAAATCTTTTCGAAAGCGACACAAAATTGTAAATGTAAATAAACCTAATATAAAAAAATTGAATTATTTTAAAGATTTTCTAAATTGGACGAATATGTCAATTAGGTTGATAAAGATTCCAAGTCCCCACTCAAGCACGACCAATTGAAAACTTTTGGGGACATTTGGCACATAAAGTTTACGAAAGAGATAAGCAAGTTTCAACAGAGCAAGTTTTTATTTATCACATTAAATTAAAATAACAAGAAATTGATTTTAATTTTTTACAGTCGCTTATGAAAGGTGTCAAAGCAAAATTGAGATCAATTGCAGATGATGGAGATAATGATTGCAGATGATGGAGTTTTTTCATATAAGAAATAACTGATTTTTATCAATAGATAAATACTTTATTTTTTTTAAAAAAAAGTTTTTTTATTTGGTTAAATAACTTACGCATCACCCGTTATTTACATTCTACTTTCCAGGAGTAATGTTATGCATCGCCATGTTTTACAGATAATAATGTTGTACATTACCCTGTTTTACATATAACATATGTTGTGCATTACCCTGCTTTACAGATCAAGAAATAAATTTTTTTCTATATTATGCCACAGTAATAAAAACGATCATAACTCACAAAAATGATGACCAGAATTTATAATGAGATAAGAATCTCCAACCTATATAAGAATTTTCGCATAACTTACTTTTAAAAGCGTAATTTGTTTTAATTCGCATTTTAAAATAGACATATGAACTTTAAAACAAATTATTTTAATATTAAAAGTTGAAAAATAGATTTTAGTACTTAAAATTTTGTTATAAACATTTTTGAAATATAATTTAATTAGCTCTAATGACTTGAATATATACCCAGCATTATAATAAAAAATTTTTTTTGAACACAGTATGAGTTTTGAGCTGATGGATCATAATGAAGTATCACTTCTTTGTGCAGCGGCCATATTTGTCATGTTTTGTTTTTCAAAGCTAGAGAACTCTCTAGCTGAGAGAAGCAAAAATTTGTAACAAGTAGTTTTTTTATATATATATACTTGTTATGTATGAATGTTATCTTAACATTCTTAAAATGTGCATTTATGTTATGTTTTAACATGTGCATATATGCTGTATGTATAATATAAATACATGCATTTATGCTCTATGTATAGACACATACAATTATGTATAAATATAGGCATTTATGCTACATTCATGCTTTATGTATAAATAGGTTTAATACATACATTTATGTTATGCATAAATACATACATTTCTGCAGGGGCTATTCTAGACCATTTTCGATAGCGTCGACCGTTTTTGGCCACCACTAAAATTAAAATTTGAAGACCTTTCTTTTTTCTTTTTTTTATTATCGTTTTTTATAGCAAATATTGTTTTTGAGAAAAAAACCCAAATTTTCCATAAAATTTTTCCGGGACAGGAGGGGGGGGGGAGGTACCACTGCCCAAGCTTTTTTCCTACAATAGCTTCTGTTATGCCATATGTTTTAAAATAAAAGTATTTATATATAAATGTATGCATTTATGCTATACCTTTTAATACATTCACTTATGTTATATGTTTTAAATACATTTAATAAAATGATAATAATAAAACTATTTATAATATAACATTTATATTATTTATAACAGTTATTATTATATTATTAACAATTATAATATTAACAGTTTTAATAAAAGCATTGATGTTATGTATAAATATATGAAACTACAAAAAGATGTATATATTAAATTTACCTAATGCTATAACTATGCCAACAACATCTGTAGGGTCAAATCTGCAAACCAACTGTACTGTTAATATAAACATTGATATTAATCCACAAAATGTCCACAATCTGTCAAGCATATGCCTTTCTTAAATGAAAAGTTAAAATAAATAATTTTTCTTTTTAAAACTGTTGTTATGATATGATTTCATGATTATTTTATAAAAGCAGTTGATTCAAAGATTCTGATATATATTTTGGATCAGATATATATTTTTATTTATTTTGGATCAGATAAATATTTATTTATTTTGGATCAGATATATATTTATTTATTTTGGATCAGATATTTATTTTGGATCAGAATTCTTCTGATCCAAATATATATTTAAAAGACATATTTTTTTTAGTATAATTTTAAAATTTAAGATATTAATATATTTAGCAGAAATTTATTTTTAAATATTTTTAAAGCAGTTATAACCATGGTTAATAGGTTTAACTAAATTGTTTAAACCTATCAACCCTGGTAATTGAGCATTATCCCACTATGGTGGGATAATGCTCGATTGAGATAGTAAACTTTGGAATATATTCCCAAATATCATCCATAACAAAATAAACATAACTATTTATAAGAAAAAACTAAAATCTTATTTAATGGTGAATGGTGATCCGTTATCATAACAACAGACAACAGAAAGAAAAAAGAAAAAAAGAAAAAACTATAAACGGCTGCCTAATCACCCGAATCAAACTTTGAAAAAAGAAATTTGCTAATATGTCTAATTGGGTTCAATAACTTACGCCTTTTTTAAAATATGTCTTTTAGAAACTAATTCATTCCTCTTATTTAATAAGTTGTCATTGGTGTAAGATATTATGAGACACTTTTCAAATAAAAAAAGGTTGCAATGTTTTACTGTGGGATTGTATGATCTACAACATTTTACAACTTTCCATTCAATTGTCGATCTTACTCCACTTTCTTTTTTTCCATACTTCCTTAGATAATTTAGTGTCGTTTTTATATTTTTCGATATTAAAAGATTTTGTATGGTTAGCGTATTAAGTTTGAATGCAGTTTCGCTCACTCCAAAATACACTTTTTATATCCATCCGGAGTGCCTGGATACAAAGTGGCTTGATACACTATGTTATTTACAAGCTTTTTGATTTAGAGGGCACTTGCTTTTAATAACACAATTGCAAAGTTTATTGAAAGCAGAGGTGTTGTTTTTCATTATATGATGGTTATGAGAGTTAACTATTGATTTGATGTTTGGCATACAACTGTAACTCACCTTTAGAGTATTTCTATTAAAAATCTTGTGGTATTTACGGCCAGCTGGGAAGTGTTTGCCTATTAAACTCAATAAGAGTTTAATAATTTTGGTAGTAACATTTTTATTATATGGAGGGTTAAACCAGATATTATTACACTTACAACTTTTTGATGAGGTTGGATAAGTTTTGGAATATAGTTAAGTTGGAATTCGCAACCAGACTTTTTCATGCATTCTGATAGATTAATAAGCTGACAGCCTATATATATATATATATATATATATATATATATATATATATATATATATATATATATATATATATATATATATATATATATATATACATATATATATATATATATTTATACATATATATATATATATATATATATATATTTATATATATATATATATATATATATATATATATATATATATATATATATATATATATATATATATATATATATATATATATATATATATATATATATATATATATGTATATATATGTATATATATATATATATTTATTTATACATACATATATATATATATATATATATATATATATATATATATATATATATATATATATATATATATATATATATATATATATATATATATATATATGTATATATATGTATATATATGTATATATATATATATAGATATATGTATATATTATATATATATATATATATATATATATATATATATATATATATATATATGTATATATATATATATATATATATATATATATGTATATATATATATATATATATATATATATATATATATATATATATATATATATATATATATAATCTAATATATATTTACCCAGGTCACTGATAACGCTTACATATTAATTATGGGGTTAAGTTATTTTATTTTAAACCGTGTTAATTAAAAAATATCATGTGTCAAAATGAATTTTATATAAACTTTATTAAATTATCATGTTACAATATTGTGTCATGTAGTGATTAATAAATTTGATTGTGGTGCCTGTGCTCCAGGTTCAATTCCTATTGGAATCTTTTTTTTTTTTTTTAGAGTATATTTTTTATTGATTCTGATATATTAATAATAATTGATTCTAATATATTAATAATAATAAATAATAATATAATAAAACACACAGGGTTAATAAATAGTTAAGTAATTCAGGTAATAAATAACATAAATGCGCATAACACATCTTGCTTTTAAAGAAAAATGTCTTACTCTCGCCACACTAGAATTTAATTAGTTTGGATTTATAAACTAAACTTTTTTATAAATATTTTTTATAAAGAAGTTTAATTTATATATCTGAACTAATTTAATTCTAGCATGGCTTCCAGTCATACGCTCATTTTCAAATAGCTGTTTTAGCACAATTTTAATAGGATTTAATATGCTAATTGGAGATTTTTTAAAGCCTGTTTACTCTGAAAGTTTTTGTTTTTATCGATGACTGAAAGAATTATTCTCTGATTTTTAAAGCCGATTTGCACTGATTTTTTTTTTAGTTTTGAGATGTAAGGTTTTGGTTGAAATTAATTTAAAATTTATTAACAGAGGGGGATGGGGGGGGGGGAGTTTAATAAGAAATTCTTTAATTAAATTTTTAACTTGAAACTTTTTATTTTTAGCATTTGTTTTTATTTCTTTTTTACTTATTCTCATTTGAGAATGCATAATATATATATAAGATTTATTTGCCCTCATCGGTTCCTCAAAATAATTATCATTTACAAGTTAATTATTCTAAAAGGTTGCTAAAAACAGGTGCCGATGAATTTTCTAGTATAATATAATTACAGTCACGGAAAAAAGTTTAAGACCACTTGCGAAAAACTGAAAATTTAATGAAAAAATTACTACAGTACAATAAAATTGGTTCAAAAATAAAATATTAATGCATAATGTCAACAGCAGTTAAAATATTAATGCATAAAATAATGTCAACAGCAGCTAAAATCAAAAGTAGCACCAAGTTATAGCATTTTATTTTAGGCACCTAAGTATAGCATTTATACAAAGTGGTCTTAAAATTTTTTCCAAGACTGTACAAAATTTGTGATTGTTAAATAACAACAACAAATTTTTTTTTTCAAATTTGACACCATCTGTATAATGATTTCTTTTATGTAAATATGAAAAAAACGAAGTCTAAAAATTTTTTTTAACATA